GAGCTCAGCGGACGCTCTCCACGCACCGGAGGGCAGCAGCGCATGCGCAAACCAGCGGGGCAGGCTGCGTGGTTAACGTCCATTTATGTCACAGTCAGTGACCAAAAACCAGTCACTATCGCCAGAATTTGGAAAGGCGGCCTCAACATAATAAGATGACTTCTAGAGCCTTGTGTGTATTAGGGAGTTATACCCTCCATGACTTACGTGAATCACTGCAAACAGAAAACAGAGTAAAAAAAGATAATAAAGAAGTAGACGTCAACCCTCAAGTACGTCTGGATGGTTTTGTAAAACTGGTTCTAAAACTTCTCAAAAATCATTTTGTGGTACAAATTTGCTTTCTATTTTATTCCTCTGCTGAAATCAGTCAAACAATACATCTTATTACCTTGGTTTTGTTTTTTGAGAAGGAGTCCGGCTATGCAGTTCAGGCTGGACTTGAACTTGCTGTATAGCTCGGGCTGGCCTCCAACCCCTGGTGATCCTCTTGCCTCTGGCTCCTGAGTATTGGGATTACAGATGTGCCCCACCATGCCTGGCTAGGAATACCTTTTAATAAGGCATTTGTATTCTTCCTACAGAGAGAATTACAAGAAAGTAACTCGGTTTAGACCAGCATTTAGCATAAACTTCAGAATGAGTGCCAGGATATTCGGAATTTGGGGACTAATTATGAAAAACAGAGATCTAAAAATTGTCTACTCAGACACAATCTATTTTTTTTTATTTTCACAACTCTGAACTCAGAAGTATTAGTTATAAGTGCAACATATGTAATATATGAGGAGAACCAGCAGAGACCACCAGGCTTCTGTAAAAGCAAAATGGCATGGGATTTATTGTGCCTGCGTACAGGCAGAGAGCTTGATAAGACCAACTGCCTGGAACAAAAGTGTGCTCCTTTTATGGGGGTGGGGAGGCAGGGGATATTAGGTGGGAAGACCCCAGTGAACATCTGTGGTCAAGGGGCTGGGGGTTTAGCTCAGCGGCAAAGCACCTGCCTGGCAAGCGCAAGGTCTTGAGTTCGATTCCTGGTACTGGAAGAAAAACAAAAAAGAAAAAACAAAACATCTGTGGTCAAAGTTCTCTGGTAGTCTTGCATTTCAGTCTTTGAAGTGTGCGATGAAATTTTCAGGTGTCTCCAGATGTCCCCAGGATCTGCAAATTTGTCCAGGGACCCAGGTGTGTTCATTTATTTATTCATTTAATAAGACTTCCTTATGTACTAGGCACTGATAATTTTATATCGTACATATTTCTGAAAACATTCACTCAGTTAAGGCCTGAGTGATCTTTACTTTGCACTGTTGCCTTCTCCGTTTCTCCTTGTACCCCTGGCATTCATCCTACTGTAATATTTATGAATACCAACTTCCAATGCAAACGTGACCACAAACCACTCTTTCAAGCATTAAAATTCAAGCATTTTAATGTTACAAATAAGCCTTTCATAGTTTGACCTCTGCCTTTCCATTTTTAGTCCTTTCCTATTTGTGCCCTTTCTCTGGCATTACCACGTTGCTGGTGATGTCCGTCTCACCAATCCCTGTGCTTGTAGACAAGCACAGGTAGCCCATGCCATACTTCTCTTGCCACTGCTTTTCATGCTCTCACCATTTGCTGCCCTCTGTCTCGCTAGCCTCGCTCTCACTAGTCTCAGGTCCAGCATTCCCTCTAGAAAAGCCATTCCTGACACCTTTGATTGACACTCTTAAAACCCCAGTGCCTAGCACTGAGAGGAAATCAATGATTTTTGAATAAAACAAAGACTACTTGTGCAAAGATGATTTAAAAGATTGTCTCTTCTACTCCAGGAGAAAGAGACACGCAGAGAAATACTTTATAGTGCAAGTGCTAAAGATGCAAGAGAAAAGTCAAAGTACTAAGGTAGCCCTGAGGAGAGAGACTCCTGTGTATCTAAACAAAAAAGCCCTAATGAAGGAAGACTTCACACAGCTGCCTAAGTCTTAAAATAAAAAAAAAAAAAAAATTTGTTAGGATAGTGAAAACATTTCAGATATAAAGAATGGGGTATTCACCGGTAAAGGTGTGAAAAGTCACAGTAATTTTGAGAACTACTAAAGATGAACAATATGCTTAGCAGGTTGTTTGATTTGTTTTCTGTTTCTCCTCTCTGTCTCCTGCTGGATCGGCTTTAAGTGGCAGCTCCTCTTGGAATTCTGTTGGAATTCTTCTCCCTGGAATTCTCTCTGCTTGGATGGCAAATGCCTGCAACAGCTTTTTTGTCAGACAAGTCTGGTTCAAGCCTAATAAGAAGCAGGGAGCGTTCTCCTCACAGCACCAGAAATCTCTCCCAGGCACACTCGTGGACATGGCTCCAAACCAGGAGAATGTGGTGTGGTCCACTGCTGGAGGGACATTAGAGGCCACAAAGAACCCAATGGGGGCTGATGTCAGAAAGGGTATGGTTAGAAGATCGCACTCCAGGAAACCTTAACATAGCCCCAAGCCTAGCAATAAAAAATACCATAAATAGATAAAGGAGTAACATAAAGGGATGGCAAGAAACTAGAAGGTAGACTTTTAAAGATGGGGAAGGGAGTCATGGAGAGAGGAGAGGAAAGGGAAAGGAAGATAATGGGGCTGAATATAATAAGTATTTTGTGCACTAAAAAAAAGAGAGCCAGATTCAGAGCCTCTCCAGGCTTCTGAAAATATTATCTCTTTGAATAAGTATTTTTAAAGCTTGGAAAATGACAAGTAATCCAGGGTACTCTCTCTGTTTCAAGGTCATCAGATTAACAGTTTTAATCCATTTGCAACTTTGATTTCCCTGTTCACAGGTTCCAGGGATAAGAATATGGTCACCTTGGGGCGACAGTTACTCTACATATCACACCTTTGTGATCTTTGTATTTCCATGATACTACTTTTATTTTAAGTTTATTTTAATATTTATTTGTTGGATAACTATTTGAGCGCTTGTTATGGAAATATAAATAAGAAATGGTCACCACACTTAATAAGAAGTGGATCGTTTAGCAACATCTTTTGTATAAAATGGCATAGTTTGTGGCATTCAACTTATTGCATTGTAAATGGATACACCTTGAAAACAATGTTAAGGGAAATAAGTCAGACACACGCTCAAATATCACATGGTTTCTTATATAAGAATATATATATACATGGACAGAAAGAGCGATATGGGGGGCAAAATAGAAGAGAGGTAAATAGGAAGTAGGGAGATGTTCAAGTACTTCCCCAAATAACATATCCCGTTGCTTTAGAAATATTCCAATGTATGCTATTTTGCTTTATTTATACTATTATACTCATGTTTATCTTAGCTCATTGAAAAGAAAGTTTGTGTTATTATATGTTAATTTCTTTTTTGTATGAATCTTTTTGGTTTATATATTGTACTGAGAAAATACTTTGAAGATAATGATGCACAGTATAATAACTATTGTTATTATTTGGTTATGAAAACATTTTATTTTTTCATAAAATAAAAAGAATTTACAAAGGAAAACATTTATTGTAATTTACCTGCTAAAATATATTTGTTCTAGGTATTCTTCTATTCTATTCCATTTCACCAATTCTAGGTGAAATTCTGCATTTTGCCTCTAAAGGCCCAAAATTGCAGCAAAACGCAGATCCTAAGAGTAGGGGGTAAAACAGCCAAGGAATAGGGAGGGATCCACAGTGGAGAGAAGATAGCTGAGAAACTTGCAATCACAACCATAAGAAGTTTGCACAATTGCATGTGTGTGTGTGTGTGTGTGTGTGTGTGTGTGTGTGTATGTTGCACGTTTTATTTTATAGAAGGGTAACCTGGAAGGTTCAGAACATCTCACCCTTTTCCTTGAGCTCATTTCTCTACCTGCCCTGACGTCATTGCGCCCCTGATGTCAGCAGCTATTGGAGGGGGTGGGGCAGAAGCCACGTGGCCTTCGCGTGATCCACGGCCCAGGACTGCGCAGCCGTGCTAACTGTTCTGACTCAGCTGGAGCGAGGGACGCTGGGATTGGCTTCTCAGGGTGAGGAGGTGGGGAACTAGCGCGGGAAGACGTCTCATAAAACAGTGCTTTCCAAACGGATGTGCCCACAGAAGTTTGCTTATACTGAAGACGGTGATATGAAAAACCTAGTGTATTCCTATTCAGCCATGAAAGTAACATCGTGTTTTTCCTTTTTCTTTGTCAGGAAGTATGAATGAAATTTAATTCTTCATTACAGTATTAATAGTACTATTCTTTGCCCTTTAATGTTGCCTCTTTGTTTATAGTTAAATTGTCCTGGTCGAGTATTATTGTATTTTAAATAGCCTGTACATATTATGAACAGGAAAAATAAATTACAAATGTAGAGATTCTGTGTGAAAAGAAAATACTTTTAGACATGCCATATATTTTTCTTATTTAAGACTTGCCTGAAAAGATTTTATCAGTGATTTTTAGGCCTATGAAGAAGACATCTTATTTTTAAAAAGGTGTAAAAAATAAAATAAAAAAGGTGTAAAAAAAATCCAAAATAGTATTTCCTTGAAAGGTACATGAAGAAGGCAATGTGACACATTATAAAAATTATAAATAAACATACAGTAAGAAAAGCAAAGCGAAGAAATAGAAAATTTCTGGTTATGTGAAGACATAAAGAAAAAGTGATTGAGACCCTAAGCATTGCTAGAATGGACAAAAATTGGTTCTTTAGGAAGGGCCTATGCTTTTGCTTCTATAAAAAGGTACATAACTACTTCTTGTTCATTTAGTGTGTGGTACTATTTGGGGACATTTTGAAATAGCGCTGTTTATTTCATAGGTAAAAAACAAGGCTATGGACGATCTTGAAGACCTCACTCAGTCATGTGAAGCAGCCTCCGAGGGTCTGGAGCTGCCTTACCCTAGTTATAAGGAGGTTTCGCTGCTGATAGCACAACTTAGAACAGAATGTAAAGGTAGGAGCACGCGTTGGCATGCCGCCCTTCCATGTGCACCGCAGCTGTCTGTGCACACTGCTCATAGGGCTCCCCTGAGCACACAACGTTGCAGTGTCTTTTGTGTCAGAAACATGCTTCATATCAGAATAGAAAGAGAGTTCTTGCACGCTCAGCCAGAGAGCTGTGGCTTCCTCAGCTGCACTGATATCCTGGCAGCTAAGTAAACCTTTACTCCTTTAATTGTGAGTGTCAGGTTCTTTTGTCTCATTAAGGAGAGAAAAGTAACGAAGACATGGCCCTTATAGGTCCTTTGCATTTCAGTATGTTTTGTGTATGGTTTGTTGTTCTTTGTGTGTGTGTGTGTGTGTGTGTGTGTGTGTGTATACACGTGTGTTGCTGACAATTGACCCCAGGGTCGAATGCGTATCAGGCAAGTGCTCTCCTATGTAACCACCTTCCCAAGCCTTTTTGTTATTGTTGTTTGTACTGGGAATCGAACTCAGGCTTGCCAGGTAAGTGCTTAAGCCACTGAGCTACATCCCTGGCTTCCCAACCCTTTAAATGAATTTTAGAATCAGCTTGTCAATTTAAAAAAATGGCACACTGGAGATTAGGCTGAGGAAAATTAACATCTAACATGTTTGGGCTCTTGAAACAACTATTTAATAAGTTGTATTTAGTTTTCTGAGTAATATTTGGTTGTTTTTAATATATTGATCTATGTTTTATCAGATTTATCTATATATTAGATATTTTCATAAACTTTACCTTTGATATTTGATATTGTAAATAGATTTGCTCCTTTTTTTGAAATAGCCAGATGCTGTAATCATAGCCCTCTAGGAGGGTGAGATAAGAGGATCATAAATTCAAGCCCAGCTTGGGTAACTGAGCAACTTAACAAGACCTTGTCCCAAAATAAATACATAAATAAATAAATAAATAAATAGGGCCCGAGGTGTATCTCAGTGGGAAGGCCCTGGGTTCAAACCCACATATCACAAAAAATATTTTTGATTGACACATAGTAATCATACATATTTCTGAGGTATAGTATGGCATTTTAATAATTATTTACAATGTGTAAAGTACACATTGATCAGAGGGTAGTTGGCATTCCTGTCACCTCAGACCTTCATAATTTCTTTACTGTGGAAATACCAAAGTAGATTTCATATCAAAGCTACTCCAGCAAGAAACACAATCGTGGGGCTGGGGATTTAGCTCAGCGGCAAAAGCGCCTGCCTGGCAAGCACAAGGTCGTGAGTTCTGTTCCCGGTACCGGAGAAAAACCGAAAAAAAAAAAAAAAAAGAAACACAATCGTCTCATCATGATAAAAGTTTCAATTAATCAAGAAGATACACAATCCTGAATGTTTATGTACCCAATAACAGCTTCAAAATGTATGCAGCAAAAATTCATAGAACTACAAGAAATAGACAAATTTCAATATCCCTTCCTCATAAGTGAAGAAAAGGAACAGAAAAGCAGCAATACTATGTAGATTTGAACATCACCATTGTTATCAAAACAGAATTAATGGAATATGTTCTTAATAAATCTTAAAAACAGGATTAAGTCAAAATGATTGAAGCCATGCAAAATCTTTTCCCTGATGACAAAGCAAGCAAATTAGAAATGAGTTCCCAAGATGTCTCTGGAAAATACTCAAATATTTGCAAACTAGGTGCTACAGGTCCAAATAACTGAGAGTCAAAGAAGCAATGAAAACAAACTAGGAAGCATCTTTAAACTGAACAAAAATAAAGATTCCAGCTACCAGAATTTGTGGACTGTAGCTACAGCAGTACTTACATGAAAAAATTTTAGCAGTGAATGCTTCTGTTAGCAAAGTCTCAAATGACTGACCTGAATTTCTATCTTAAGAAACTAAAAAAGAGCAAATTAAATCAAGGAGAAGAAAGAAAATGATAAAATGTATTATAGTCTGATAATCTGTGTTCCCTTAAAATACATATGCTGAGATCCAACTATAGAACTGGCTGTATTAGGAAGTTAGGCCTTCAAACTGGGTATGGTGGCCTGTAATCCACATCACAATTCCTTTTGAAAAAATCTCATTTCTCTCCCGTTCCCAGATCCACCTTTGATTCCCTTCCCATATGCTAAAGATCTCACTATTTTCTGTTGTGTAGCTTTTCTTTTGCTATTTATTTATACTTTGGGTTTCATCCATAAGAGAAACTGCATGATATTTAATCTTGTGTGTCTGATTTATTTCACTTGACCTTATAATCTCATGGTACATCCATTTTTCTACACAACACATATTTATCCTTCTTTGTGGAAGAGCAGTACTCCATTGTGTGTAAATACATTTTCTTTATCCATCCATCTGTTGATGGGCATATAGGCTGCTTGTAAGATTTAGCAATTATGAATTGTGGTGCTATAATTGTGGGTGTGCCTATATCACTGTAATATGATATCTTTAATTCTTTTGGAAAGATATCTAGAACAATAACTGAGACAAATGGAATTTCTATATTTATTTATTTATTTTTTGCATACTGGGAATTGAACTCAAGACTTGGCTCTTGCCAGGCAGGCACTGTGCTACTGAGCTATATCCCTGGCCCTCTACTTTTAGATTTTCTGGGAATCTTCATACTTATTTCCATAGTGCATGTACTAATATACACTCCCACCAACAGTGAAGTCTCACCAGCCACATCACAGCCTCACCAGCCTTTATTATTACTTGATTTCTTGATGAGAGCCATTCTTTCTGAAGTGAGATGTAATCTCACTGTTGTTTTAATTTGCATTTCTTGAACTGCTAGCAGTGTTGAATATTTTTTCATGTATTTATTGGCCATTTGTACTTCTTCTGAGAAATGTCTGTTTGTTTCAGTTGCCTATTTTTTCTTTGGGTCTTCTCATCTGGGGGATGTAACTCTTTTGAGTTCTTTATATATCTTAGATACTAGGCCTTTGTCTGAAGAATGGCTGAAAAAAATTTTTTCCCATTCTATAGGTTGTCTCTTCACTCTGTTGGCTGTTTCCCTTGCTGTGCAGAAGCTTAACTTGATATGATCCCATTTGTGGATTTTTGGTATTATTTCTTATGTGGTTGGTCTTCTTTTCAGAAGGTCTTTGCCTACCCCTAGATCTTCAAGAGTTTTACCTATTTAGGCTTACAGCAGATTGTTTCTGTTTTAATATTTTGATCTATTATGATTTTAGTTTAGTGCATGGTGAGAGATATGGGTCTAGGTCCAGTCTTCTGCATGCGGATAGCCAGTTTTCACAGCACCATTTGTGAAAGAGACTGTTTTTCCTCAAGCAAAAGCTTTTTACTCCTTTGTCCAAGATCAGGTAGCTGAGTGTACCTAAAAGAGTTTCTCCACCCTCAAATCTGTTCTGCTGATCTATAAGTCCTTTTTTCTTTTGCCAATGCTATGCTTTTTTTAAATCAGTGTTGCTTTGTAGTATAACTTGAAACCTGTGATTGTGATACCTCCTGCTTCGCTATTTTTGCCAAGGATTTTTTCGCTATTCTAGGTCTCTTCTGGTTCCATATATTTTAGGATTATTTTCTCTCATTGTGTGAGCAATGCTATTGGTATTTAGATTGATATTGCTTTAAATCTGAATATCAGTTTTGGAAATATGGCTTTTTGACTATAATGGTTCTGCCTATGCAGGTACAGGATATTGTTCCATTTTCTGATGTTACCTTTGATCTCCTTTTTCAGAGTACTATAGTTTTTGTTGTAGAGGTCTTTTACTTCCCTGGTTAAGTTAATTTCTAAGTATTAAATTTTTCTTGATGTTATTATAAAACCTATTTCTCTGATTTTTCTCAGTGAGTTCATTATTGGTATATAGGGATGCTGTGTACCAGTTTTGTGTGCTGATTTTGAGCCTGCTATCCTATTAAACTTGGTTATTAATTCTAGGAGTCATTTGGTGGAATTTTTCGGTTTTCTGTGTAGAGGATCATGTCAACCACAAATAATGATAATTTAAATTCTTCCTTTACTGTGCATATCCTTTTTTGTTTGTTTTTCTTGCCCAATTGCTCTGGCTAATGTTTCATGAACTACATTGAACAGCAGTAATGATAGAGTATACACATGTGTTTTTTCCTCCTTTAAGAAGGTTATATTCTATGAATTGTGGTGCTATGAATATTAAATTCCTCCCCATTTAATAGGATGTTGGCAGTAAGTTTCTCATAAACGGCTTTTATGAGACTGAGATAATGTCTTTCTATATCTATTTTCTTCAGAATTTTCATCATGAATGGATGTTAGGTTTTGATAAAGGCTTTTGCTGCATTAGTTGAGATGATAATGGTATTTTTGCCCTTGTTTCTGCTAATGTCATGTATTACATTTATTGATTTGCATATATTGAACTATCTCTGCATTCCTGGGATAAATCTTACTTAGTAATGATTTATGATCTTTTTTATTATTCATTGCATTATTCTTTGCCAGTATCTTATTGAAGATTTTTGTGTCTATATCATTAAAGATTATGGTCTGTAGTTCTCTTTTTGGTTGGGTCCTTATATCATTTTGGAGTCAGAGAAATGCAAGTTTCCAGACAGTGTTCCCTTTCAATTTTATTAAAGAGGTTGAGGAATGTTATGTTAGATTTTCTCTAAAATTCTTGTAGAATTTAGCAGTGAATCCATTGAGACCTTGGTTCTTCTTAGATGATAGTTTTTTTATTATTTCTTTAATTTTATTGCCTGATATTGGCTTATGTAGGATTTCCATGGCCTCTTGGTTCAACTTTGATAGTTCATAGGTATGTAGGAATCTATCCATTTTTTCTGAATTCTCCACTTTATTAGAGTAAAGGTTCTCAGAGTAGTTACCAATGATCTTCTGGATTTTGGCAGAATCTATAGTGATTTTGCCTTTTTAATTTTTAATTTTACTGATTTGTGTCTTTTCTTTCCCTTTTTTTGGTAAGGTTAGCTAGGGTTTGTCAATTGTATTTATTTTTTTCAAAGAATGATCTCTTTGATTCACTGTTTCTT